GAGAATCATTGGTCGGCCCCTTCAGAGTCCCTAAAGGTGTGAAAATGACCTCAGCAAAGTATTTGGATTTTCTGACTGATCATTTTCTTTCATGGTTCTGAAAGAAGACCCGTACCTTCAGCAGCAAAATCATCTTCACGCACGACAATGCACTACCTCATTCTGCAAGGAATACCACTGTGTCATTGGCTGCTATGAGCATAAAAGGGGAGAAACTCATGGTGTGGTCACCATCCTCCTCTGACCTCTGACCCTATTGAGAACCTTTGCAGTATCTTCAAGAAGAAGATCTGTGGGTGGAATGCTGTTCATATAAAAACAGCAGCTCTGGGAAGATATTCTGACATCCTGCAGAAAAATTCAAGCAGAAACTTTTCAGAAACTCACAAATTCAATGGATGCAAGAATCGTTCAGGTGATATCAAATAAAAGGTCCTATTTTAATGTGTAACTGTCTGTTAAGATGTTTTGATTGAAATAGCTTTTGATTTTTGTACATGTGACCACATAATGTTGCATGTTCTAAGATTGACAGTTTGCAGTTCTTTATGTTACATAAAATGTTTAGAAAATCTGCTGTGCATAATAATTTGGAACACTGAATTTTGAGGGTTTTTTAGTTTAGAAAAACATACTGTTCTCATGGGGAGCTTTGGTTAATAAAATTTGATTTATACTGCAACAGTTCATGACTTGAAAATGACATCAATCATCATTTGCATTGACCATTTAAGAAAATCTGAGAGAATATCACTTGCATAATAATTTGGAATGCAGTGGATAGGCTCATTCCCTCTTAGATCTGTAATGTCGATGACTGGAAATATAAGGAATTTGTAATTAAAAAATGATGTTAGAACCCCGGAGATGCATTTCTTTGCTGCCGAAACCTAAACTTGTAGTATATGAACAGATCTCATCTGTCTGGATCCTTTAATTTGTATTTTAAACAGCCACGCTCTCAGGTTTTCTTCCTCTTTGCTATGACTTGGTAAGCTCTTGCGCTTTCCACCTCCACATACTGTAAACCACTGCAAACTCATACCTCTGAAGATTGCTGCAAGTCATTCTGGGAGGTGTGGGAAATCTCTGACTAAGAGTGGGAGTAGCCAGGGCAGGCCATGGGAGAATGCAGCTATTTTACATCTTAGGATTATGAACACCAGGATGGAATGATTCATAGATTAGTGTCTTTAAATCAGATTAAATAAATTCTAAACTTGATGCTTTTCATAAGTATGAGCCAAAGTGTTGTAGTTGCTCCAAATCTGATTCCAGGTCTGCTCTTTGATTTTATACAGCAAAAGTACTTTGACTCGGGAGACTACAACATGGCCAAAGCCAAGGTGAAGAACAAGCAGCTTCCTGTGGCCGGACCTGAGAAGAACCTGGTAACCGGTGACCATATCCCAACGCCGCAGGATCTACCAAGAACGAGGAAGTCGTCCTTGGTGACCAGCAAGCTAGCTGGCTAGCCTTCGTCATCTGAGAAGAATCTTCGACACCATCCCCCAGGACTCCACCTTACCCCATGTTCCCAACATGTCCACTCCTCTACCTTCCTCTCTCTTCCTTTCTCATCCCGAGGCACCACTGGCTTTAACATATTGGGCAGAGTTGTATAAGTTAAAACTCACGTTGTGCTTGTATGTGGGTGGTCTGGGCTTGGGCGGTGGTTCGGGTGGCCACAAAGCCGCAGCCCTCTCTGCCTTCACACCACGCACAGCTCTGTTCTGTCTGCGCACTCTGCTCCACCGCCTCCCTTATATCTTGGTTTGTAGTGTTCCAAGATGCATTACAGTAGGTATGTGTCATCAGGCAGGGTTGAAGGGGCAGATTTAATGCACTTTGTATTCTGTATAGTGCGTTTAGTTCTGTTTTTATTGCATCCTGAATGACACCAAAACAATGTGTGTAAAGGCGTTAGGAACCGTTACTGCAGTTTGTCTTCGATCTTTGCGTTTCTATTCTTTGCCGGTGGCTGACTTAAGCAGTGGGGAGGTGTCGGAAGAAGTATGTGAATACTCGCTTGCATACCAAATCAATAAGGGGGGAGGTAGTTTTGACCCTCTTTTGGGAAAAGAATGGAGCATATGAGGCATCTCACATGTCAGTCAGTTTTATCCAATGGAACCTGAGGTCATTGGAACTGAAAACTTTTGATTTTTTTCTCTCTACTGATGTTGTCCCACACCTTCTGCTCTTGTTCTCGCTAAATATGCTGCATGGTTGTTAATGACACAAAATCTAAGTATTTTTAACAGCAGAGGGGCATATGCTTATTGATTTAGGTAAAATATCGAAGCAAACACTGTCCTGACAATCCATTTACATGCACACATTTACATACATAGACAAAGTGTTTACTATAACCTAAAAGATTTATGTGGGGTAGGGGGGATATAAAAGCTCTGTATAGAGTTTATGTTTAGGTAAATCAACCTTGCACAAGCACGTAATTTGCGTTAACTGTGGTCCTTTGAGGACTAGTCCAGATAGCATGCCTTAGAGAATCAGGAGCGCAGAATCAACTAATTTGGGATTACAATGTTGAATTTTAGGCTCAAAGTTGCTTTGCTTTGAAAAAAAAAATGTAATAAAAATCCATACTTTAGCTGCCACGCTAAGCCTTGAGTAGACTCACAAAAGTGATGTTTAATTATCTGTCTGACGCTGCATTGTGATTGGGCAGAACTTCAAAACAATTAGAATTTTTTGCAACGTTGAAATATTTGATTCAGATATTTTCTCTTATTTATCCATAAAAGTAATTTTGAAGTGACAAAGTCATTGGTTTCTAACTGACAATGTGGAGCAGCTCACGTGCTTCATTGAACTGACGAAAGTGATTATGAAGGCTAACACTTTCAAAACGCGTCATGCTCATTCATCACAGGCTAACAAACTACCAACAGAAAACACTAATAAATAAATTATTTTGTTTACTTTCCTACATTGTTGCTGGAATATAGATCTACTGCCTGCACCTTGCAGATTTTTCTTTCCAAACTGACTTGATTATTTTTATCAGGGCGTCTGTGTTTAAACAGCAAGCAACCTGGCAGATGAAGCTTCAAAAAGCCTTGGCGGCTTTTTCAAGTGGCTTGATCGTGTCTACAAGAGCACATAGCTAAGCAGAGAGGTTTTATAACACATGATGAGGGGGCAAATTGTAAAGATGAACAATGCCACATCTGTCTGGGGCACAGGTTGTAAAACAGGTTGATAGAGCAATTGCAACATCTCAAGACTTTGAATGTGCGCCCTTACACGCAAGTCAAGAATTTAAACTGGATACGTGCACTTAATCAAGTAAAAATAGTGTATATTACTGCTTCAGGGAACTTTCACCAACTTACACTCCATCATCTAGGCGAAACCCACCACATCTGCAACCTCACTTTTTAAATGTGTCAAATTTGCAGTGTGTGAAAGAGAAGAGACTTGTGCATATGATCTTGTTATGGTGCTGTATGAATGCAACACTTTTCTTCATCTCATCTATTGTAAATAGATTTCAACAGGATTTGACTTTTGTTGTTTCCCATCTGCTTTTTGGTCTTCTTGTAGCCTGAGCTATTTCTGATTCAGTGGTCCCTCTCTCCTCTCAGTTTTAGCACTACTTCTGCTGTATATTGGTGTTTTGCAGAGGCTTCATGAATCTGTTTGATAATGTGTGTAAATGCTGCTGATTCAAGGACAAATCTGAGATGATACCCTGTAAAGAATGCCTGTCCTTTTAAGTTTGACTGCATAATTTTTTTTGTTTAGCTTCTGAGGTAAAATCTACTGGATATAAGACTGTTTAATTACCAATGATCAGCGCAGAAAAGTTTTTTTGTTGTTGTTTTTTTTTCACCATGTTGATTAGCAAAAACTCACAATTTAGCATTATCTGGTTTAAAATTTAACATTTTGTGCTTTCAGAAAAAAATGAATTGTTGAAAATGAAATTAAAATGCATAAATGTTGGTGCACAGAGCAAACCAGAAGAAATTGAGTATGTTTTAAAACTCACAAACAGGGTGTTTCATCCAGAAGAGAAATACGTGCCAGAATGTATAAACAAATGACAGGCTATGTGCTCTGACACATTTGTGCTGCTTTTATCTTTGTGTTTTTCTCGTTTTTCAAGCAAATGTTTCCCATTTTTTGTTGTGTTCTTTTATTGCATAAATGGTGTATTTCATCCTAATTCTGGCCCAAGATAGCTGCAGGGAGGTCAGAAGGACCCATCCGTCTTTAAAGAAGGAGGAGTTTACATGATGAGTATCACTGGAGAACAAAAAAAAAACATTTTGACACTTCAGAAAGTACAGGGCTATTTGGAATGTTTGTTGTGTGGAAGATGAGAGGATTTTTGTCAGTATTTGAAATAAACTTTTACATTAATAAAATATATAGTTGGATTTTTTATTTTATTTTTTCAGCTGAACAATAGATGCAACCATATGAGCACACGCACCTTCGTATTAGAATCTCAAACGATTTGAGAAAATACGACCTTTAAGGTGTAAAACTTAACCTGGCCACTAGGGGGAGGCAGAGCAATATGTTGGCTGGGTGCAAAACTGAATTTCCACTCAGGCAGTTCCAGTGAATTCCAGTGAATTCCACAAGTGAATAGAAAGCGCTACCAGAAACTGAAGCAAGTAAAATGTACGGAAAATTCCAGATATTTTCACAAGTATTTATAAATCCAGGAACAGAAACGACACTATATAGACATTTGATCATTATTTACTTTTTTTCATATATGTATAAAACATAGGCTACTTTTTGATTCTATTGATTTTAACTTGATTAAATTGATTTTTGTTTAGAAAAATTTAACTGCTAATATCTGTCAGAACACAGCTCTCAACTTCAAATTATTAGTTTGTGAGCATAAACTCGGGAGTAAAGCAAATTGTCTGAGCGCTGCAGTTGGGGGGGCGGGGACGGGGGACGTGTCTTGATTACGTCAATTGAGTGGGAAGCTTCGCAAGTTAAATAGTTGGCATCAGTTTCTTGTGCTTGTTCTTGAGGACCTGGATCAAGCAGAATGAGCGGAATATAGATTGGCTTATTTTACTAAATACCTAACCTGCTGAATCTTTTTTGTTAATCAGTTAATCCCAATTCAAAGGAAAATATGACAGCTAATTCGAGAAACGCGTTTAACTATCTCATTTTTTCTCAAAATGGAGTCGGGGACGAACAAACACACTACGACCCACTCGTTGTGCCTCAAGTCGCAGTGGGCTCCACTGTAGAATCTCTTCATTCGCCTATGGATCCCTTCAAGAAACGCCCGACGAATCTCGGAGTGACCGCAACGAACGGATATGTTGCGAAAAGCCTCCCGGAGAGCAGCGACGACAGCGACGAAGGCTCCCTGCCATGTACCCCGGAGCAGGACCCAGACAGAGAAGCCAACGGGTCTGCCGTTGGTGGGAGCAACCAAGTGCTGGATAACGATACAATGGAGCTTATTAGCAGTTTTCTAAGAGACTATACAGGACTTTCAAGGTATCGGTGGAATCAAAGTAAAGCTCTATCTACGATGAAAAGGGTGGTGAAGGACCTTTTGACGAAGCACAGATATGCATACAATGGTGAGTAGGCGCCATGATAGGATTTTTCCACAGTTGAGTCACAGCCTGCCTCACCCACAGGAAATATTTACAGTGTATATTTCGTAAAACAGGGTGTATGCTTAAAGCTACTGCTTTGGCCATTGTTAGCCTTTTTAGTCTTTATAGACGTTCAAGGAAGTGATACTTCATTTATTTAAAATGCACTCCTTCTACTTGTTACGCAATTATGCGGAAGTAAAAAGTAACGACATGAATTTTTCTCTGGATGTTATCAAAATGGATCTCTAACTGCAAGTTATTTCTCTTCCCTTCAGGTATGGTCAATAGACTTGCTCTGGACAACCAGTCGGACGAAATGGGGTTTGTTACGAAAGTAGCAGAGAGTCTCTTTTCAGACGGGACCACCAACTGGGGTCGGATCGCCAGCCTGGTGGCCTTCGGGGCTGCAGTGTGTCAGCACCTGAAGGAGACGGGCAGAGAGCACTGCGTGGAGCTGGTGAGCCAGGAAATATCCACGTATCTTCTGGCAAACCAGCGGGACTGGCTAGCAAAAAACAACTCATGGGTAAGTTATTGCAACACTCTGCTGGCTCGCTTTGAGAACATTCTCTGGATTTGAAACTAATGTGTCTTTTTTGTGTGTGTTTTCAGGAGGGATTTGTGGAGTTCTTTAGAGTAACAGACCCTGAATCTACAGTGAGGAACACGCTGATGGCGTTTGTTGGGGTCGCTGGTATTGGGGCAACATTAGCCTTTCTGATCAGGTGAATTTGTTGGACTCTGAGAGCTTAAGGAACTTTCCTGTAAACAATTTCTGTTTTGGATGCTGAAATGGAAGTTGAACTTTGCATATAGTGGCTTAAAGGGTTTTTTATTTAAATTCATTTTTGCCACATGTCTTGTTTTTTTTGTTGATGTTGTCCATTTTGTAAAAGTTTTGAAACGTATTTAAATATGAATAAATTTATTTTTCTAATGAGAATATATTCGATGTAAGATAAATGATTATGCTACTGTTTAGCTCATTTTTAATTTAAATCTTTTTTTGGGGTGGGGGTGGGGTAATCTGTTTACAACTAGAATTACTTGTGATTTTATTTAACGTTTTTAATTAAACCACAGGCCAAACCAATAGAAACTACCCAGTTAAACATAACATTTTGCAGGCATGACACCCATTCCTTGAAAACGTTGGTGAGCATTTGGACTTTTGTCTGGATATTTCACAAACTTTGGGGTTAGAGGGATTGATTTGCACATAGTATGTCATTGTTAAAATTGCTCTATCCAGCAACACCAGTGGCTACATTCAGATTTAAGCTAAACGCATATGTACAGAACAATAAAACAAATTAAACAAATTGTTTGACCTTTTGATAATGTCTTTCTGAACAGGGAGTCTTGCTTAATCACATTAAACAACCAAGAGGATATCTGTTCTAAATTTCTGACAGTTGTTAACACATAACCTCTGTTTATTCACACCACAACCAATATAGCGCTTGCTGCAGTTTCCTCGAAATTCGAGCACCTCCTATTTGACTGAGCTCAGGGTTGCATCTGCAGTTTTGCAAGTTGCAGAGTTTTCTATGCAAAGCTGGTGCACACACTCAAGAGCTGAACTGGGGTCAAAGGGGTTCAAAACATCTTCAGAGTTGCATAACATCCACATCCTGATTCAGACTGGCTTCAGCTACCTAGAAACCGATGACTTAAACATGTTTTATTGGGTCTAACCAAGGATTGACATTCTGCTCATTAATTCTCTGGCACTTATACATATCTTATCTTGTTTCCACCACATCAAGGCTCTTGCAGGGAAAACCATGGTGATGATTTGGGACTTCACCTTGTTTTCAGATCCTGCTGTAGTCTGGTTACAGAACAAACATGACTGTGGAGGATATGAAGGGGAGACTCCATGGAGACAATTCACAGCTGGCCTTCTTTGGTTCACTCCTGTGATTAATGATGTTGGTTACGTTCTTAGTTACCTGTACATGGCTCAATGAAGAGCAGGGTGTTTTGCTCAGGGTAAATAAAGGCTGAGGCAAATTCAAATTGCTGTTTGCAGCATTTACCAAGAGGACAGAAAGCAGGAAGTGCCATGAAGGAACAGGAAGTTATCCTGGCTTTATTTTATTTTATTTTTTTGCTCATTTGTAATTAAATGTCTTTATGGAATTCTTACAGAAGAAAAAAAAAGATGATAGGTGGTTTATCTAGATGTTCTCTCAATTTCAAAAGAAAATTCTGCTGTTGTGACTCATGGTGAAAGAGGACGAAACTCAAACTGGTTTGGTCAGATTAAATCTTTTGTTTCCAAACCTGAAATCAAACTAATTGAAAATCTTCTGGGAAGTAACATATCTGAACTGCTTCCTTGTTTAACAAAACCTCTTAAGCATAATAATCAAGAATATTTTTGTACAGTGTCTCTTCTAAATGTTAGTTGCTTGCTTTAAAAGTATGCATCTGTTGTGGTTTACCAGACTTATAGAATTGAACTTTGCAGCTTCTGAGCGATCAGAGAGGCGCAGCTGCAAACCGAAAGGCTTCAAAGCAGGTAAATGCATTCCTTTCACGGGATAGTTTTAAGGGAGTGGTTTTAAAACTTCCCTCTGCATACAAAAGGCATATCTCCACAGATAAAGAAGCCCAAGACTAAATTGACCTTTAGAGTACAGAGATTCTTTGAGAATTTTTAAACACTTTTAGTATAGTTTTGACTTTTTGTATGCTTTACTAGATAAATGTGTCCTGGTGCATGAAAAAATATCTGCAGGAACTAGTCACTGTAATGTCTGAAAACTAATGACTCCATTTCACCATTCTGTTGCTCAAATGTTCTGTTCAACAGCTTCTTTCTCAGAATTGAAACCTGATACCAGGGAGGAACCTCCTTTTGAGCGTGGGTATTGGTTGCGAGCAAGTCTGCCTCCCTGTAGCAACAGCACGCCCTTCTGTTTAAAAAAAGCACCAGTTTCTGGGAAGTCAGCTGACGCACGAGTCAATAGTTAAACAGAAGTAATCTATGAGTTCGGTGTCAAAGGCGACCAATACTGAGAACTGTGGTGCTGAGATGACTAGATAGGGCTAAGTTTTCACAACTTTTAGCTGTAATGTGTGAAGAAGAGACAGAGCTGAATGTCAAAACTTTTTGGAGCTGGTTTACAGAAGTAGTCTTCCAGCCTCGTATTTAAACACTGACTCACAGTTGCAGCTGTTTTGTTTATATAATCATGCAGAGAGCTCTGAATATACCTGCTTATTCCAGTTAACAAAGGTGTCTTTTAGTAAAATGTTCAAATGTTTTAAGGCATGCATGTATGTGCTCAGTGTTTAGTGTTACTGTCTCTGTGTGGGGCAAACAGTAATTACTGTGACTTCTAATCTATTTTGCACTTTCAAGGTCTGTTTTGCAGAAATTGCAGCTCAACTCCAGCTTACGTTCACATCTTTGGAAACCCAAATGTCTTTTTGGACAAACATTTGCAGGGTTTTCCTTGTAATAAATTTGTCTGCTCCAGAAGCTGCATGATTTATAACTTATGCAAATCTTTGGCTAGAGCAAAAACGGTATCTGAATTAATGGAAATCCAACCAACATAACAGTTACTGTTAGGGCTGCTGCATTTTTATATGAAGGGGATTTCAACAGTTTGGCACTGCTTCAAGACCAGGACCAGAGATCAGATAAGCTCTTAACCCGGAATTTATGATGTCAAGTTGAAGATTTGACGTCTTTTACTCAGATTCTAAGTGTAGATATTGTAGAAAGATGTCACATTTTCTCTTCAATATAGAGTTGAATAATTGGCACCAACTATTTATCTATAAAACATAACATTTGGGTATGGGTTGATGAAAATGTTTTTTGTTTTTCAGTTTTATTGTTGATACATGGACTTGAGCAAACCTATGGAACCAAGTCAAAAATGTTGCATGAGTTTTCAAGTGCTTGATGTGTAGAATATCTTTGCTAAGCTTTTACAGTTTTACTCTTAGTGTAGCATGACTTTTAAATTAGCATGTGTTGCCAGCTTGCAATCAGCTGGCAAAATATCTGCAAACTAGATATTTTGTAAGCAGGTTATGAATTGTAGGATATAAACTGATACCATAAGATGTCAGAAATGCCATATTTTGTAGCACATATCATATAGATGTCATTTATAGTTTCATATCCATATTTGGCCAGTCTTTAAAGCTCACACCTGATGTATATTTTTAATATTAAAGTGCAGTGTGATGCTTAAAGTGCTGGTTATTTGTATTAAAAGATGCAACTTTCAATGATACTACCACAATACCATACTTTAATATAATGCAGCCCTTTTAATAGTATTTATGCATAACAGTCCAATTAATTGGCACACATGCCAGGATAGTTCAGCAAAAATGTGTCTATTAAGCAAGAAAAAACACTGTATTAGCCTTATTTCAGCCAGCTGACCAGCCACATGCCAGTCAGTTGGCATGTGGTCTCCTGTTATGGAGGAGCAACATTGCTTTATTCTGCTCCACACAGACCTATGTCTGGCACTTTCTCAATTGTATTTAATGGATGTTAAACATAATAAAAGAATAAAAGAAATCTTTTGAAGTTTTGAAAATATAAACTGTTTGCTGCATGTGCCGATTCAATACTGGTTCAGCCCATTTAGTTACAAAAACGAATTCATTATTGGGGTCTAAACAATAATCGGGTTTGGTGAAATGAGCAATCAACATCATGCTTTTCTGATTATACTGAAGTTCTTTGTTTTTTGTTGGGCACTGGACAGTCAGATGTCTTCAAATCCACAATTAAGTTTATTGTTGCCGTATGCACTGTGAGAACAAAAGCCTTAAACATGAAGGCAAGAATAACTGGAGCTCAGAGGTCAAATGACTCCCATTCATCTGCAGCTCAGTCTGAACTCTTGAACATTATGCTCCCTTTGGTGAGTTGATACTTCAACTCGGATCAAATTCTAGGTGATGTGTCATGTTCCTGTCAAAGTGGAGTCATCGTGTCTCTTGAAACTTTATTCTTTGACTGATGACCGTAGAGCTGTAACAGATTGTCTCTTCATGTTGGCGGTTGTGACGTATTGGCTGAGAACATCAGATCTTTGATCAGTCTGTCCATATCACTGGTTGGGTGATATGTGGGTGTTACATTTGTTACACCTAGCATTTAAACTGATTTTAGAGCTAAGCAATTAAGCAAAGTGATGCACAATGCAGTAAGTTTTAAACTTTGTTCAAAATAAGGAAAAAGCTTGAAATATTCAAGTTTTAAAGTTTTTCCCCTAACCTTCTCTTGAACCAGCTTCCAGGCTTATGTAAACCTTTATGCAAAAATCCTTGTGCCAATACATGTTTCATTGAGTTCTTATCATGTTTGTAGATTTAGTTGAGAAAGCGTCACAACTTTGTAGTGTTATCATAATAAAAAAAGAAAACTTCCTTTTAGGTGAAGTTTAAAATATTCAGAGAAATACCTGGTCTTCACAGTTTCTCAGATTAATTCAAATAAGCGAACGCAAACACACAGAAGATACAACATTGTATTTGTTTGTTTGTTATGAAACTATTGCCCTACGACAGACTGGCAACCTGTCCAGGGTGTTCCCCACCTCTCGCCCGAAACTTTCGCTGGAGATAGGCAGCAACACCGCTCCCAGCTCCTCAAGGGACAAGGTTGTACAAAAAATGGATGGATGGATCCTGAAATAGAAAAACCAAGGACTGTTGACAGTTCAGTAGAGTGTAGGGCTACAATTTGCTGCAGTAACTCAGGGCTCATTTTCTTAGTAAGCTTATCACTGTTAAGGAAATAAATAAGTCTTACCTAAGGTGAAACACTGAGTTTATTAATCAAGAACAAATCAAAACACATTTTGATTATTATTTTATTAAGAAATAAAGCAAAGAATATAACTCCCCTGGTCAGTCCTGGTTAGTTGTTCCTTAAATGTCAGCTCACAGTGTTTGCCACAGTAGGTCTTCTGACTCTGCTTTGGGACCTTGAAAGCTTTCCATGTTTTGTTCGGTCTATTTAGTAGCAAGGCCAGCCTTCTCCCTGGAAGGCGCAGGATGTTCCCACCAGCAATTCACAGTCTGTTACTAACAGGAAGGAAGCTGCAGAACATTTAAACTAAGAATAAACGTCAGGCACAAAGCACTGTTTATTTTGTGAAACTCCTCAGTTGGCTCATTACCAAACTAAACATGTGAATGGTTCTTTTTTTTTAATTCCTCAGTTTTCTTCATTTATCAGAAGCAGGCTAAAAGAAAAAATGGAGAATAAAGAAATATTTGAGAGGTTTAGGAATAAAAAATTATGCCACAGGTTACTATTTAAACATAAAAA